CTTGACACCTCAGCATGGAGATCGGGGAAAAACGGAAGGCCGCTGTCGTGAAGGCTGTGCTCTGTATTCAGAAAACGCTTGTCTAATTATTTTTAGGACGAGCGTCCTGTTTCTAGGCTGGCCAAACGATATTTTATTTTGGCGAGTGCACGAAACACCCCATAATCACGAATCACACCTCATGCACGAAGGACTGTGGTGGCGAGTCCACAGTCTCCTCTGTCTCGACACTCATCACATCCACCTCCTCGGAGGAAGATAGATGAAGCATCTGGCTCTCTCTCTCTGGGGGTTGAGAAGAAACCGCAGCACGGGCTTCCGAACACTGAGAGAGAGCTGCGGATCTAGCGGGTGAGGACCGAGAAAAGGACGAGCCCATCTCGGATCCCACGATCCCCACGACAACAGTCTGTGCTGTGCCTTGGCACCAGCGGGACCGCTACCAGTGGGATCGCGAGCCTGGCCGCTCTCATCAAACACAGCCAGGCGAGAGCAGCGCATACGCAGCGAGAGTAACTCGCAGTGATGACAATCAGCTCCTCGAAAGCTGACCGTGCATGCTCCGCTCCCAAACAAACGACACATAAATTGTGTGTTTCCCCCGCCGCCAGATATCGTGGGCAGGGAGGAACACAGCGTTTGTAATGCCGTTTGCTCGCCATAGACCTTTTCATGATTGTTTTTTATATATGCTTGTGCGGACAGACGACAGTAAATAGACAGACACATACACAGAGCGCTACTGAAGGGCAGAAGCTGGTTTGCGCTCTGCCGGATGTGCTTTTATACTTTCTGGTGCTTACGTCACCCCACTCGTGACGTCTCGCTACTCCATTGGACTGATTTGACATGTGCTTCAGAACGCGGTCACGCAGGGGCGTTCCCAAAGCGACTTCGACGCAGCTCGAGTTCCTGAAGGGGAACTTAATTAAAAGGGAAGCAAGATTATTTTTCTTACCCTACTGGCAGATAGTTTTCTTGTTTTAAACAGAAATTGCTCAGAAGACTAGACATAATATCTTATGTCATCTTGCTTTTCAAATAAATGTATGTTAATTTAAGAATGTTTAGATATTTGTACTGGAAAAACAAGACAAAAGAAAATAATTTCATGAATTTATAATTAGTAATTTTATTAAGAGAAAAATCTCTTTTCCTAAGATTTTCATAATTCTGGCCCAAGGAACTTAAATTTAAAACATAAATGTAAAAAGGCTCAATTTTGATTTTATGAAACTCAGAGAATATGGTTGTAATTTGAAAGATCTAAGGTTCAGTCTAAGCAGACTGTGTGTAATTGTATGTCTTCAGGTAACGCAGCACCATGTTAACCAGCATCACCGAGAGCATCTTCTGCTGTCTGATGGGAAAGACTACCAGTGTCGTGCTGCCGGTCAAATCATCCGACGGCAAGCCGGCTGACGGATTCGAGTTTGTGGAGGTGAAGCCGGGTCGGGTTCTGCGCGTTCGCCACATCCTCCCTGAACGGTCTGCTACGACAGAAGCTCAACCAGAAGCGGGCAGCAGCGTCCACTGCAAGCGCAAGATCACGGTGTACCGCAACGGCCAGCTGGTGATCGAGAACCTGGGCGACGTCCTCCACTCCGAGATCCTGCAGTGCCAGAACGGAGACGTGGAGCAGTGCAGTACAGTGGAGGTGGAGCTGTCCGATTACACCACCGCGCCCTCATCCCCCGATCCCAAACCCGCTCCACCTCTCCCCACCTCAGACCAGCAGAAGCCGGCTCCCCCACCTAGACGCCGGCGGCGGAGACCCAAGCGCACCGTGCTGATCGATACGGAGCGCTGCATCAGCAGCTGTAAGGGGATGCATTCGGACGTGGCTCTCTTCTTCATCCACGGCGTGGGTGGCTCGTTGCACATCTGGGGGAGTCAGCTGGATTTCTTTTCGCGGCTGGGTTACGAGGTCATCGCCCCGGATTTGGCGGGACACGGCGCCAGCACTGCCCCTCAGATAGCGGCGGCGTACACCTTCTATGCCCTCGCCGAGGACCTGCGCGCCATATTTAAGAGATACGCCAGAAAACGGAACATCCTCATCGGTCACTCCTACGGGTAAACATTGCGTTTCAACTCACTGCGTGTTTTTTGCATTATACAGTATCTGTCAAAAGCATGGACACTTATTTCTGATGATTAATTTTAATCTGCTAAAATAACAGTAAAATGTTGAGAAATTACTAAAAATCTAGCTATTAAAAATAGTTTGAATTATTTAAAAAATAATTACTAACTACTAACTACTACTGGGGTGCCTCAGGACTCAGTTCTTGGACCACTTCTCTTCTCTGTCTACATGGCATCACTAGGTTCTGTCATTCAGAAACATGACTTTTCATATCACTGCTATGCTGATGACACTCAACTCTACCTCTCATTCCATCCTGATGATCCGACGATAGCTGCTCGCATCTCAGCTTGTCTAACAGACATTTCTTGCTGGATGAAGGACCATCACCTTCAACTCATTCTGGCCAAGACAGAACTGCTTGTGGTTCCATCAAACCCATCGTTTCATCACAATTTCACCATCCAGTTAGGCACATCAACCATAACTCCTTCAAAAACAGCCAGAAACTTTGGAGTTATGATTGATGATCAGCTGACTTTCTCAGACCACATTGCTAAAACTGTCCGGTCCTGCAGATTTGCTTTACTCAACATCAAGAAGATCAGGTCCTTTCTTTCGGAACATGCTTCACAACTCCTTGTTCAAGCTCTTGTTCTGTCCAGGCTGGACTATTGCAATGCTCTCTTAGCAGCTCTTCCAGCCACTTCTATCAAACCTTTACAGTTAATCCAGAACGCAGCAGCAAGATTTATTTTTAACGAGCCGAAAAGAATGCACATCACACGTCACAAAATTATTAAATACTATATTAGTGTATAAATATTTCTAAACCTAAAACTATTAATAACGGCTTTCGTTAATATAAATAAAGCTGAAAAAATTAAATAGAAATATTTTTATGAAAAACTAACTTAAATAAAAAATGTGGCATTGGAGACTAACTGGAATAAAATACTAAAATTATACTAAATAAATTATAATTGTACTAAAATTATTAGGCACAAATCAATAAAATAAACAAAGTTAGATTGAAATATATAAATAAAGAAAAACTAAATCAAAGTGACACAAAATTTCTAAAACTTGCTAAATGAAAATATGAAAACAAAATCTAATTCAAAAATATTAATAAATACTACAATATTATATAGATAATACTAAAATAACACTGATTTAGTCAAGCGTGCCAAACTTTGACTGCTACTGTAATTCTATAATTCTCAGAAGCCTTGTGTTTCTTACTGGCAGGGTGTCGTTCTGTACGTTCCTGGCACACGAGTATCCGGAGCAGGTGCATAAAGTGGTGATGATCAATGGAGGCGGCCCCACGGCCCTGGAGCCCAGCCTGTGCTCCATCTTCCAGCTGCCCTCCTGCGTCCTACACTGTCTGTCTCCATGCCTGGCCTGGAGCTTCCTCAAGTAAGAGCCCAAGATAACAACTTCTGCAAAAACAAGAGTCGTTTGAGCATAACCTGTAGCATGGTAAAAACCAGTCTCTTCTTCTGTTTTCCGTTCAGAGCTGGTTTCGCCAGGCAGGGCGCTAAAGAGAAGCAGCTTCTGAAAGAGGGAAACGCTTTTAACGTGTCTCCGTTCGTTCTGCGAGCGATGATGAGCGGTCAGTACTGGCCCGAGGGGGATGAAGTTTACCACGCCGAGCTGACCAGCCCCATACTGCTGGTGCACGGCATGTACGACAAGTTTGTGCCGATTGATGAGGATCAGCGGATGGCAGAGGTTTGTGCACATCAAATAAATCTGTGATCATTTCTTGTGTGACAATATAAGTACGGAGCCTTCTTTGGCCGTGTAACAATTCACATACTTTTACTAAAAGTATGTACTCTGCCAGAGAGCTCCTGAAACCTGTCAAGAACATGTCCAAGTCATATTTCACCCCAAAAATCACTGGAAAGAAATCAAAAATTTTACAGAAAGAAAAATAATTTTTCTTTACTTTTTAGGAGGTCTTGCAATAAACTATAGGACTTTCTTGCGATAAATTTGAGGACTTCTTTTGCAATAAATGTCAGGACGTTTTTGCAGTACGTTACAACATTTTTGCTATAAATTTTAGGACGCGAGCGATGATGAGCGGTCAGTACTGGCCCGAGGGGGATGAAGTTTACCACGCCGAGCTGACCAGCCCCATACTGCTGGTGCACGGCATGTACGACAAGTTTGTGCCAATTGATGAGGATCAGCGGATGGCAGAGGTTTGTGCACATCAAATAAATCTGTGATCATTTCTTGTGTGACAATATAAGTACGGAGCCTTCTTTGGCCGTGTAACAATTCACATACTTTTACTAAAATTATGTACTCTGCCAGAGAGCTCCTGAAACCTGTCAAGAACATGTCCAGGTCATATTTCACCCCAAAAATCACTGGAAAGAAATCAAAAATTTTACAGAAAGAAAAATAATTTTTCTTTACTTTTTAGGAGGTCTTGCAATAAACTATAGGACCTTCTTGCGATAAATTTGAGGACTTCTTTTGCAATAAATGTCAGGACGTTTTTGCAGTACGTTACAACATTTTTGCTATAAATTTTAGGACTTTTTGCAATACATTTTAGGACATACATTTTAGGACTTTTGGAATACATTTTGGGACATTTTTGCAAAACGTTTTAGGGCTTTATTGTTATAAAATGTAGGACTTTTTTTGCAATAAATTTAATACAATTTTTGCAATACATTTTAGGACTTGTTTAGGACTTTCTTGCAAGCAAGAAATACTTAAATACTGACTAAAATATGATTTAATAAATATGAATAAATGATTCAAATAAAATTGTATTGCAAATGCAATTTTTTAAATTGCAATACAGTAAAAATACTGTACTTCAGTAATGATAACCTAATGAGATTACATAAACAACAACAACAAAAAAACTAAAAGTAAAGTGTGCAAGCATGACCGTTATGAGAATTTAAGGGAAGAACGTGCTTAATTGTTATGAAAAGTATGTCACAATGCAAACATCTTACGTTCTAAAATAATAGGCTTCATTTTCATCTTCCTGCAAAATATAATAATTATTTCCTTCTTTTGATTTTGGGGTAATTTTTTTTGTTGTGAGATTTGCACACATGGTCTTGCATACTATGTGAATTGGGATGCAGCCTTGATTCTATAGTGTGTGTGGAATAACAGTGATGTTGGCTCACTCACGGCTCTCCTCTTCAACACAAGAGCTTCTTTGTGCTGTAATGGGCTGTTCATGAGTAGAGGAGCATTATTAGCATGTGCTCTGAATGAAACACTGGCGGCTCATTGCACTGCTGTAGTCAGTGAGGACTCTCTGCAGGCAGATAGGAGGGTCACAACACTGTCAACAAAACACAAAGATAAGATGTTCTGTAAAACTGCAATAAATTAGAAAATGCAGTATTAGAAACAGCAAAATAGTTCAAATTAAACAGTAAGACTGACTGCCGACCATCACTGATATAAGTCATGTGAACGATTCAAAACGGACAAACAAAAAGTAGTTTGACTTTAGTTTTGTATTTACTCACTTATTTACTCCTCTTCATCACTAGTGGGAGAGAAGGCATTAATGATTTGTTTCCACGTCTTGTTCTTTTCTTCTGTCCATCTCAGGGCAGTCTTTGGAATTTGGTCCTGGCCCATTCTAAGGACATGTCCGAAAGTTTTATATTACATATTATTACATTTTAAAAAATATTTAAATGTAATTTAAATATAAATCATGTATACTTTAAATGTATATAATGTATTATTTATATGACATTAGTTTAACATGAGTGAAAATATTTATATTAAATGTCATTTATATATAAATTAGATAAATACACATACATATATACATTTAAAAAATGTATAATGTATTTTATACAAATAACAAAACATTATATATATATATATATTATATTTATATAAACATTATTTACATAAATATTTAGAAATAAGTTTATTTTATATGTTCATGTATTATATAAATACATTTTATATATGAATGTTACTTTACAAAAATATGTATTTTATAATATGTGTGTGTGTATATATATATATATATATATATATATATGTGTGTGTGTATATATATATATATGTGTGTGTGTATGTGTGTACATTTTTTTAAATATTTGTAAATTGTCTTTATTTCAGATCCTCTTGTTTGCATTCCTGAAAGTGATCGAGGAAGGCAGTCACATGGTGATGATGGAGTGTCCCGAGACGGTCAACACACTCCTGCACGAGTTCTTCCTCTGGGAACCTGACAATTCCAAAAAGGGCATGGTTACCATGGTAACAGCTATCCAGACCACAGCCGACGAGGCCAAGCCCCCTACTGTCGCCAACGGCAACAGCAGCACAGGGACTCTCAAGGTCAACAAGCCCCTTAACAAGTAACCTGATGATTGACGTTTTCGGGGTGAACCAATCAGAAGGCTGTTGATGGCAGGCTGTCAAACCATCACCTTGGCTGAGAGCTGGTTTTTGGTCAGAAGGCCCAAGCGGGTGTCCAGACGGGGGTAAGAAAGATTCACAGGTTCGAAGAGACTCTCTAGTGATGAGGGAAAAGCAGCAGCTGGTTTTAAACCAACAATGGTGGTTTATGACATCACAACGCCTTTGTTTCTCTATGCTACCTTTGGACAATATCTTTCCTTCTTGTGCTGTCTAAAGAAAAGGACTGGATGTTTGTCCAGAGGATGGAAATCAAGTGTGTCCAAGTCCAGACAGGACTGAAGTATGAGAAAGAGAAGAAATCGCTGAGGTTAATTATAAAAAACAGTGCGATCAAACCCAGGAGAGTGTTTAAAGTCAACATGAAACCTATTTTACTTCCATAATATGACATATTGGGCATTACAAGTACAAGAAGTAAAAGTACTATTACGAAAAACAGCTGTTACTTTAAATAATGAGCACTACTAAATCGTACACAATGTGATTGGAAAATAACAGGGTTGTTTTCATGCTGACTTTAAAGGACGTTTGTACAAAATCTGTGTTCACGTCATACTCGTACTAACACATTTTAACGTCTTCCCTCATAAATCAAATCCACTGCTTGGAGTGCAAGAGCGATTGAAAACAGATGTATGAGATACTCAGTCCTGTTTAAACATCTTAAAAAGATAACGTACTGTAAACGAACACACGCATTTTACTTGAAACAAATCGTGTGAGTTTAAAAACAAAACCACGGGTGTCTGCTCACAGGAAGGATAAAAACAGGACAAGGAAAAACAATGACCGTCACAATGGGAAATTTCATACACTTGTCTCCTAGCAACTAGAAAGTCGGGCATTAGAGCAAATACACCATGAGAGTAAGAGAGAGATAATGATGCCGCCTGCCACGACATGACACGGTGCTGAGGAAAAACAGGATATAAGCTATAATATCACGATGCATTCATACAGAGCGGATTGCTTAAAAATCTGAATTTAATATTGAAATTATATTGTGAATATCTAGTCAGCAATTATGCTCAATAGGACAGACCTGCATGCAAAGAAGTATAACATGCGGCTTCGACTGGTTACCATGACTACAAGCAGTCGAAGGCTAAATGGATTAAGGTGGAGGTCTGGTCCGTCTAACCCTCCATCCTTCACATAGACATCATGAGATCTCTGCAGGCTCCTCACGTTTATGCACTGAAAGCGGTCAAACATCACGTATCAGAGCAGATCAGTTGGAGAAATTGTCAGGTGTTTATGTAACTTAAAATCCCACTGGTCACTTGAACAATGCCGACTCCACATTGTAGTTGTTTTTAACTAATAATTAATAACTTGACAAAGAAAGGCGATTCAAACATCCTCATGTTAGAGCGGCATTCAAAAACAACTTAGAGAAATTAAAAATCAGACTTGCGTGTACATTACAGTTCAGTATGTTTTTATTTTTAAAGAGAAATTGATACTTTTATTCCACAGGGATGCATTAAAATGATCAAAATGGACAGTAATTACATTTATAATGTTACAAAAGATTTCTATTGCAAATGTTACTGTACTCAACAGCTACCGTTTTCAGCATTGATAATAATCAGAAATGTTTCTTGAGCAGCAAATCAGCATATTAGAATGACTTCTGAAGATCATGTGACACTGAAGACTGGAGTAATGATGCTGAAAATTCTGCTGCGCATCACAGAAATAAATGACATTTTACTATATATTCGCATAGAAAACAGCTATTTTAAATTGTAAAAATATTTCACAATATTTTTGTTTTTACTGTATTTTTGATCAAATAAATGCAGCCTTGGTGACTTATCAAAAACAAAACAAAAAACGTACAGACTTCAACTGCTGAAAGCTAGTCTAACTAAATTCCCATTTAACACATTACAACAATAAAATACACTTGATTCCATTCTCACAGTTCAACTACTAATAATAACATAACACACGTTCTTCTGGAAGGAAGTTTACACTTTTTTGATGTGTTGAGAAGAAATGTAGACATTATTGTCTGCTCAGTTATTTTGCACACATGCTGTTATATATATACATATATGCAGGAATTGCAGAATGAATTACAGGTGAATGAGTTTGTCTACAGTGATTACAGCCGAATGCCAGTGCTGAACATCAATCCCAGTGTAACCACAAACTCTAGAAGACTACTGAAGCCCTGTGGGTGACAGATAATAATTTCATCCTTCAGTCTGTAAAAACACACCAAAATGCATTTACAGTGATGCACTTACTGTACAATCCAAGTCTGTGGAGTGTTACTGGATTTTACATGGTCAGAATAAGACAAACATTCTAATAAGACTAATCTTTTATTAACATGTACGATATTTAAGTCTTGTGACTATATGTTCAAAACGGTGTATATTTTAGCATTTATCCCACTGCAGACTTCCACTGAAAGTGCATTACTGTACATGTGTTGTTCCTTTGATTTTGCTCAAATTCTAAGATAAACAATTCCACAGCTGTTGCTCATTCAGCTTAAGTTGCACCAAACCCAGAAATATTTATTTAAATTCTACTTGCATTTACAGTTTCATTGCAATGCAATGCAAACTGAGATCATTTCGCACATGATATGAATTTTATTGCAGCCACTCCTGTGAATTAGAAAACAAAAACCAATGTGTTTTTGACAAAAACTAGACAAAACGGCACACTTGACTCATGTAAATGAGCAGTATATGTGTTTCCCTTTTGGATTTTGGTCATATCCAGCCTTATCAAAGAGATGGAAATGATTTCTCTGTCATTTGATTGGAGGAAAAGATAGCTAGAAATTTTAGAGGGTCTGTAGCTACATGGGTTTAATATCATAAATAAAATATATCCCAAAGATTTCATGTTTGCGGAGTATCTGGCCAGAAAAAAGGCCAGTTTGTAACCACCACCTAGTGTTAGTTTTTTTTATACATATTTTTTATATATATATATATATATATATATATATATATATATGTGTGTGTGTGTGTGTGTGTGTGTGTGTGTGTGTGTGTGTGTGTGTGTGTGTGAATAGCAGCAACAACAATAATAATAATTATTATTATTATGACTATTACAACAATAAAAAAATCCAGCTAGTAATAGATTTGTAAAAGTTGTGTCCTTGTAGTGACAATAATAAAATAATTTCTGAATTAAGAAATACATTTTCCCATCATTGTCTATGGGTGAGGGGGAAGACAATGCATTACCTCATAATATATATTAGAGGCCATTTCAAAATGTGCATTTCCAAAAAAGATGGGGGAGTGTTCCATTTCATCTTTGAATAACACAATTATGATTCATTTAGATTTTACATCTGATGTTGTGAAGATATGATCCCTTTAAAGGGGTCAAATGATGTGATTTCAATTTTTCCTTTCTCTTTGGAGTGTTACAAGCTCTTGGTGCATAAATAAGATCTGTAAAGTTGCAAAGACTAAAGTCTCCAAAGAGATATTCTTTATAAAAGTTAAGAGTTAACCACGCCTACCTAAAATGGCTCGTTCTAACACGCCCCCACATGTCTACGTCACTGTGTGGGAAGATTTGCATAACACCGCCCAAATATTCACGCAAAGAAAGAAGGCGTAACTTTTATTCTCTCTGGTATTGTTGTTGCCGCCGCCGCCGCCATGTTGTGGAGATGCTGTGTTTCGTTGTGAAAGCGAAACTACTTTGGTTGGGCTTCCAAAAGAGGACGATATCTGCTTCGTCATGCCTGGAGCTGATCCGTGCTGATCGCTGAGGAAATACTACAACTTCACGCTGTGGATCGCCGGATCGGCTTTCACCGTGGACGAAGCGGAGTCCAGCCTGGGGTCGTCACATGTGGTTGCCGCAAGCTCGCCGGACGAGATGGTCCTCACTGCAGAACACAAGATCCAGGGGTCAAGGTTGGATCCAGATCCAACTCCTCCCACCTCACATATACCTAAACCCACCCATCTCTACCCCTAAACTTACCATCTCCACCCCCTAGATGTGGATCCAACCCCGCCCCCTGGA